GTCGAGTGAAATAAGATTTAAAAAAATGTGATAGAATGTAATTTGTTGACGATTTCTTAACACTGATAGTCTGATACTGGTGCTGAGTGCTGAATGCTGATGAATGATATTAGTCAATGCATCAAAATTATGAAAATTTTAACAAAATCATGTGTGAAAATGTAGCTCTGGCCAAGCCAAAAATAGCTCCCGTAAAAAAAATTGCGAGAGCTCTTTTTTTCATGTACAATATCAAAAAAGAGCTCTCGTAAAAAAAGAGTAATTTTTAGGCTGCCGCACAGGAAATAAAAAATTTACCAAACTGATTATTTTGTTATTCTCTACTAACCTTCTACATTATTCTAATGAAATGAATGGTAAATTTAATCAAATATAGACTAAAAATAGTCAAATTCCAAAGTCTAAAGTCCATGCGAAGTACACAAACTCTCCATGTGTTCGATTTTCTAGGTCATGCTGTTAAACCTTTGATAATTCGATAATACTGGTCATCCCCGACCAATCAGCAATTGCGTAATAAAATATGATAATTTATAGGAATAATGGGCGGTCTTCAGAGACCGCTGATCTTTGAAATCGACTTGCGGACTTGTTCCGATTTACTACGCATCAGTGTACAGGGTTCTCCAAGAACACTTATACTAGCCTGGCGGCGCGCCAGGCTATCGTCGAGCCCCGCCATCCTAAAATGCACCCGCCACTCTAAATATCATAGCCGTCATGCTAAATATCATAGCCCCCGGACCCCTCTAGCACGCAAACCGCCTTCGATTTGCAACTAGGACCGTAAAGGCAGCACCCGCCATGCTATAATGAAAAAGCTTGGAGAACCCTGGTGTATCAAAACGAGTAAAAAATATAATTTTTAAGAATACCTTAGAATGCACATCACCAAATTGCACCATCCCCACCCCCATATAAAAACGTCCTCACATCCGAGTCATTCACTTTGCTACGACAAAAATCCTGGACCAGTGCCTACTGACCAGGACCAGTGCTTCCTCAGAGGCACTGGTCCTACTGGACCAGTACCTCCAATTATCAGTTTTTCACCCTGCAGTCAAACCTCGGTTATCCGAACATCAATTATTCGAGGTTTAACTGTAATCAACAAGTGAACAGCACATCAGTGTCAGCCCTCGCAGCGCATGACGATAAGCGAACGTCGGGTTGCCGCAAGAGAGACGTCGGTTTGCCGCCTGGTCTGCTACTTATCTCATCGGGCCATAATAAAAATATTGTTTGTTTGCCCTCACCCGACCGACCCGCCAAAAACGGGCCGACTCAAAAAAAAAATTGTGATTTTTCCCATTCTTTTTTTTTCACAAAGTGTATCACACTGTACATTATATAAATCTTTAGGCAATACATTATACAGGGCGTCAAGTTCCTATTTTTTCCTATTTTTTCCTATTTTCTGGGCAATTCCTATTTTTTCCTATTTTCTGGACAAATTCCTTTTTTTTCCTATTTTTGAGGGCTTTTCATTTTTATGAATCCAGAATTGTATGTATCTTTCTCAGAATGCAGGAATTTACATTTCAGGTGACCCGATTTTCAAAAATTTCTTGGGAGAGGACCCCCAGACCCCCCCATCCCTTACTTTAAATTAACGTAATATACTCTTTACTATCACAGATATTATTTCAGTAAAGTTGTTTCTCTGTTGTATGTGGTATGTGTATCCAGAGGGGGGGTCCAGGGGGTCCGGACCTCCCTTGTTTACCCCAAAAAGCGGAAAACACATAAAGCATAATTTTCGCGCCTTAAAAACTTTTGGAATTCCATCGTGCATTCTAGACATCAAAAATACTGCTCAGATGCTCTTCCAGAATGCACAATTTTAAATTTTTTCTTTGCGGGAGTCCCCCTAAACCCCCCCCCCCACACCCTAAGTCGGGCAACATGCCTTAGACGCAGCGCATAAGCTGGGGTGCCTTGCTGCCACCGTTTTTTTTATAAAAGTGCGTCTTGTATTTCCTTACTGCCATGGACCCCCCTTATTTTCAAATAACCGGCTCCGCCCATGTATACATGTATGTTCTGCTCATACTTTGTTTGGGTTAGTCTACATGTAATGGTGTTATGCATGTATAAATCTGCTTATCCATTTTAACATGCAGTTTCTCATTACAAACTCAAATTATATTGTTCGCATAGTGATTTAACTCCAAATATGTATACTTAATAAAACCAATTGTGGTGAGATCCGGTATGGCTTTAGGAGGTGTTGGGAGGCCATCTCAACGCAACAAATTTTCCTATTTACATATATTCTTTCTCACCAAAATTCCTATTTTCCTCCTATTTTTTCACATTGAAATTCCTATTTTCCTATTTTTTGAGCGTCACTTGTCACTTGACGCCCTGATTATATGTACCAAGCAAAAGAAACATTCAACATAAAAGGTATCTCCACACAAGCACACCCGAACATGTAGACACCGCTTGCTGAATTTGTAAAAAGCCCCCCTCCCCCCTAAAAAAACACAAATCTTTACTTACCTACCCAAACTTTTGGGGCAAAGGTGAGGGCAAACAAATATTTTTTTAATTTGTAGCTTGATTTCGATGTCGCTTTTTTTCACTTTCAGTGGGGTTGGCATTCGTCGACGTTCATCGGCTATCGAGCCGTCTTGTCGCTGTTCTTCCTCAGCGGCCTGGTCGCGAGTCTGGTCACAGCTCCCGTTAGGTGCGTGGCTCTTCTCGCATACTTTAATTACGATTAACGTAATTTAAGGTAATTAAGTAATAGTTAAGTGAGTAAATACTCGAGCAATGTAATGGTTTGTGTAACAGCTCCCGTCAGGTATGTGACCCTTCTCGTAGCGCGGTTTGTTAAGATACTTTATTAATGTTAACGATGGTAAGGTTAATTTAAGCACAGATATATACAACACATGATTTATGGTAATTTAGTGAATAAATGGTCGAGTAATGTAAAGGCTTGTGTAACAGTGTAATAAGAATCATTTGATTTTAAAAGCAATTTAAAATTGGTCGGGTGCAGGTCCCTTCTCAACCCCCAAAACCAAGATTCTTAAAAAAACTATTTTGTATGGATAGGTAAAAGGCTAGTAAGAATCCGTACCCCAACAGTAATGGGGATTCAACAGCAGTCGTCGAACAGCTGCCGAAATCCGGCTTGTAGCTCGAAGGCACTGCACGAGAATTCTTCTGACGGCATCTCCTTCCCTCTGCGACACAAAAAAAGTTCCACCCAGATGTGACCGATCGCACTTACGTTGGCACGCGTTCACTTGTTTCTCTCTCGCGCGTAGGTACGTCGGAAGACCGGAGACGTGGCCGATATACCTCACGAATCAAACGCTCGTGATACTGAATGCGCACCTGATCGTGTCTCTCGTGCTTGCCGTACGACAGTACTTATCGCAGCGAAATAAGAAAGGTGGGTCCAGTCACTGCCTGTAGGTTGAATCTAACGGTGATAATTCGCACTACAGGGTTAGTCGTGTTAGGTATTTTTCTGCCCGATCAAGAAACTAGAACACGTGAATTGTCAAAATTATTAAATGATGAGCTCATAATATGCGGAGCACCCTGGCTCACTTGATTTCTTTTGATCGATTCGATTCGATTAATTTTTGTCAGTGTAAATGTCGCGTCATAAAGATTTCGTCTTTGTCGAAAATTATTGATTCATCTTACGTGACAAACCTTTTTCTCGTCCGCTCGCAGGTTTCCTGCCCAGCAGCGGCGATGGAGGTCCCGCCAGGTGGCAGCACAAGCTCTCCTGGGTGCTCTTCAACCTGTCGGCATGTCTCGCGCCGGCGGTCAGCGCCGCCTACTGGACAATGATCCACGACGCCTCGCGTGCCATCGACGCCGAAAACCTCGTCAAGCACGCGCTCGCCGCCGCCGCCATCGTCGTCGACGTCATCGTCACGGCGACGCCCGTCCGTCTGCCACACGCCTGGCAGCCGGCAGCCTACCTCGCGCTGTACGCTGCGTTCAGCGCCGCCTACTGGGCGGCCGGCGGCACCGACGACCACCGGCGCCCCCGCATCTATGCGTTCCTCGACTACGGCGAGCGTCCGGCGTCTGCGGCCGCGCACGCGGTTGCCATGGCAACGGCGCTGCCGGCGTTTTTCTTCATGCCCGTGTACACGCTGTACCGGCTGCGAGTGTGGGCGGTGGTGCGGAGAGCGAGGGGGAGGAGGTCGGCCAACTATAAGTACCATGACGGCGGGTTGGCTGTGTGATCTGCGGCGCGGCGCGACGGACGCGTGATACTTGAATTTCGACGGGACTTCCCCGCTTTGCTTCGGCAAAAATCGAGTCATGTACTGGAGCTGTGATCCGAGTCTTTGGGGACTCACGAAACTTGAACGTTGGCACTTTGGGGCACTGTGATCGAGTCTTTGTGGCTGGTTTTCGTCGGCTGTGTGTGATATCCCCGGCGTGATGGACGCGCGATACTTGAATTTCGACGGAACGTCGTCTCTTTGCTTCCGCAAAGATCGAGTCGTATACGGGGGACTAAATATATATATATAT